TATTTTGTTTTGTATATGTACCTCAGCCCACATCATGAAAAGTTTTAAAACAAAATCATGGCGCGCGCATGTGTGTGTGTGTTCATTTGTTTTTTACCAACTGGAAAACAGAACAAAAAATCATACTGTGTTTTTCTATGTGGTTGGATTCCATTAATGAAGGTTCTGTTTGGTTTTGAATATCCTTAATTGCCTACCTAGAAATGCACACAACCTAAGAAAAAATAGCCAGTAAATTAAAAATTGACAGATAAATTAAAGGAACAATAAAGAGATGTAAATATATCCAGAAACTAGCACAAGAACTCTGCTGATGGTAATTATACTCTTAGCTTATTAATCATTTAGAGAGGAAAGGACTGAGAGTAGCAAAATAATGATTTAAAACCAGCAGAGACCCACACTTTATGTTGTCATCATCGTTACTGTTTTTGGAGACAGGGTAGGGAGGTCTCTAAGCCACCCAGGTTAGCCTTGAACTTGCAATCCTCCCACTTTAGCCTTCTGAGTAACTGGGTGTTAAGGGTTGTATCTAGATATCCTCCCAAACTTCATGTGGTCATAGTGGTCTTCTGAAGTGGCTGGATCTATGGTGTGTGATGCTTGGATTAAGGGTGCCCCACCCTGGGTATGGTTGGGACTGCCCAAAGGGCAGGTATCCTGGGTGAAATATAAAGACAGGCTTGGTTGCTTCTGCTGCTGCTTTGCTGCTTGCTGCCTTCTGCCTGCCCTGCTTTGCCATGAACTGTTTCTCCTCTGCCATATCACTCTGCCTTGGAGTCAGCTGACTATGGACTGAAACCTCTACAAAGTGTAAGCTGATGTGAACCTTTCCTCCTGTAACTTGTGGTGTTGGGTATTTTGTGTTGGCATTGAGAAAAGTAACTAAGACACCAGGAATAGCTGGAATATTTATAGTTGTGTAATTCACCCAGCTCATACTTCATTTGTGTCTTTTCGTTTTCTAGCAGAGACAATAGAAGAAGGTATTGGTAGTTGCATAAAACACACATGGCCAAATGGCTATGGTTTTGCCTTCATTAATTCTCCTGACTTAAGTTCTTAGGCTGTGTTCTGCAAGGGTGAGTTAGTGGCCCGCTATTCCTACTTGGTGATCACAGATTGGTGGCCTCCAGAAACTCTATTGGTGAATCCTTCTGCCTTCTCTTGAAAATACCTGTGGCTGTGCATTGTGGCTTGTAGGCTAACTCTTTTTCTTCTGGTGAGATTGGCCTGTGGCTTACAGAATCTTGTTATCTGCTTTTGTACAAGTGTTAGGTTCCACTGCATGGTGCCTCAGAATGCCCCCCCCGCAAGCTACAGTCAGCCACATACATAAGTAACCATATTTATCTTCAGCTATAACCTGTTAACATTAGCCAAAACAATTACTAATTATGGACATCTATCTTTTTGTTTTGTTTTGTTTTTTGGTACTGGGGGTTGAACTTGGGCCCTTGCTCTTACAAGGCAGGCAGTGGAACCACTGAGCCAAACCCCTGGCCCTGCACATCTATTTTTTTAATCTTCCTATTTCTGGGAAGAAATAAGTCAGTTCATTCTTTCACAAACCCTATACCATAATCAGGTATCTTAAAATACATACACACCCAATTCTAAGTACAATATGTACATAACATATATTTTTATCTTATTCACCACTGCATCCTTAGTATTTAGCACAGAATGTGTTCAATGAATATTTGTTAATTGGCACTTGACTTATTCATATTTTCCCTCCAGTTCATGAGTATTTATTGAGTGCCTGCTGTGTGTCAGGCACTGGGGATCAAAGTGAGCCAACATAATGTTGGAGTCCTCACTCTCCATGGAGATATGGTCAGGCTGCACATATGTAGTTACACACAAGTGTCATGCAGAGGGGCATGTGAAGCTGTAAAAGGGGGTGCGCCTGGTATGAGATAGACCTAAGTAAGATCAGGAGGAGGAGCGAGACATCAAGATGAGGCATGGCTGCAGCCGGTGGCCCAGTGGGTCCTTTTGTTGTTTGTAGGAGCCGGAGAACAGGAAGCTAGGTGGAGTGTTGTGCCAGATAGGCTGCAAGGGAAGATAGTCTGCAATATAATGTTTATCTCACCAGCTTTGGTTCAGTTGTCCCTATTGCATTACAAATGCTTCCTGACTTTTGAAGCAAACAAGCACTTTCCTTATGTCTGTCTTTATAGACTGGCATTTTCTTTATCCAGAAATAAAATGATTATAGCAACACTAATTATTTCATGTGCCTTAAAAAAACCAGGTGACTATCGGATTTATTTACGTGTAGCTTCCCAACAGATACAAGAGATAGTATAATACTGAATACTAACTAGCTGGGATGTTGCATCATTTTTAAGCCAAAATAGAAACCGAGATAATGACCCCCGTCAGCTTGGAGAACCATGGGTCCAAACTCATGCATCATTTCCTTGTCTGTTTATAGCTGTGTGAAGTACAGGGTCAGCTCTCTGCTCATTCTGAGACTGATGATGGGTATATGGAAAGACACAGGAGAGCATGATAGGAGGAGCTTGTGGAGGCCATTTTGTCGCTCACACTCTGCGTGGTCTCTGGAATAGCTTCCAGAATGTCCACTCATGTCTTCACAGTCCTTAGATTATGACCCTTCTATTGTTCAGGTGCCCCCTTTGGCCACAGGTGCATGATGTTTAGTGGTTTACCTTGTTCTCTTTGTTCCTGCTGGAGGTGCCGCGTCCTCATTTCCTTTGTCCATCTCTTATCCAGGTACCCTGATAGGTGGCTAAGGCCATTTCTTTTTGTTCCCATAGCACATGTCTCTTAGCATATTTTATTTAACTTATTTGCTTATGTGTCTTTCTACCTATTGGACTAAGTTCCTTGAAGGCAAGGAGAGTCTCCTCTTCATTTTCATTCCCTGGGGTCCAGCACAGTATATAGTATCTTGTGGTAGCTCAGTAAATGTTTATTGGAGAATTAGTGCTCATTATGGTTTTGTTTGTTTCCTAGGAGGCATTCAGCCATATCATAGTTGCTTAAACTTAGAGAAGTGGAGCACAACAGCTAATCTGCACTGTCAGGAACTTCAGGATGACTTCACAATTAATTGTATCTATTTCTTCCACACTGTTGAAAAAAATACAGTTTTATTATAATTACCAGTCAGCATGTACTGCCAGTACTATGTATGGCCTACTGGCCAGATTTGGCTGGCTGCTTGTTTTTGTATGGCCCGCAAACTGAGAATCATTTCTACCTTTAATATGGTTGGGGAAAAAAAAAATCACAAGAATAAGATTTTATGACACATGAAAATTATATAAAATTTAAATGTCATTGTTCATAATTCAAGATTTGTTTTGGAGTGCAGCCCTGCTCGCTCATTTACTTACCGTCGCTGTCTTCTTCCAACACCACAGCAGGGTTGGGTAGTTGTAACAGACTGTGTGGCCTCAAAGCCTAAAATGTTGACTTCATGGCCCCTCCTAGAAAACACGTGCTGATGTAGGAAGTGGGCTAAGTAGAGGTCATCCACAGATCTAGTACAGAACTCATAAAGGAAGCATAAGAAGGTTTGTAGAACTTGTTTTGTGTGGGTTTTTTTTTAGTATATTTTGCATTTTAATTTCCTTTCTCTAGCAGTTGGAGGTTGATGGATCAGTAGCAAGTTTATTCAACAAAATTTGCTTCAAAGAGTAAAACATTTTTTCCATCAGTCAACACAAGTTTGAAGGATATGATGTTCATAGAACTGGACAACCCAGGCCTTTTAAATGCTTCAATGAGAGTCACCTAAGTCCCTTTAATCTCAGTTTCCTATCTCTTCCTACCCCCACAACCCTTTTTCATCTTTTCCTCATACTTATGATTAATTCCAGTCAGGTGCCTGAGAACATTTCTTTTCCTTGATTCAAAGTTGGAAAAAAAGAACAAACTGTTTATATGACTGCCTTTAATATAAAACTATAATTGAGCAAAATAAGGACAATACTACTGTCATGTTGGTTGATTGCTTTTCCCTTCTGGTTTTCATCTGTTTGGATTCAGAAAACAAAAACACGAAGGTTTGGAAAATGAGCCAAAAAATGGAAGACAATTGAGAAAGAGAAATTCTACCCTCAGACTGTATTTTGAACAAGAAGCAGCTGCCATGCGCTTCCAAACCAAACCCGCCTTTCCAGTTCAGAATGCAAGAGCTTGGGCGGGGACTTAGCTCAGTGGGGTCGCTTCCTGCCTCATAAGCACAAGGTTCTGAGTTTGATCCCCGGTACCAAAAAAAAAAAGAAAAAAAAGCAGAATGCGAGAGCTAGTAGCCTTATGCTTGGAGCCCCACTTCAGGGCCTTGCTTATTCTGTTTGTACTTAGACTTTTGGTGGTAGTGATGTTGGGAGTGGTGGGAATCAAGAGGTGAATATATATTTATTTGTTTTCTAAGCACATGCATGACATCATGGATTTTTTTATAACAATGAGTATGTATCAGTTGAACAGATAGGAAAAAACATTTGATTTCTAAATAGTTCATTATTCATCATTAGATGATAGTTTTCAATGACCTGGAGTCTCCTTGTAAAACTGCATGGCGTCCTGGGTATTGTAAGTGAGACCGCATTCGTGTTCACGTGTTCTAATTCATATCCCGCCCTCCCCCCATCATTGTGAAGTGGCTGCAGTCCCCGGCATGTTTACCTTACAGCCACTTGGAAGGGAGCCAGTAATGTCATTACAGATGGCAGTGTGCCCAGACTATCTTAAAAAAGCATCGTCTCTGCTACTAGTTAAGTTTCAGGAAGGGTGATGTTCGCTTTTATATTAAGCATTTGGGAAACACTCAGGGCAGATATATTAGAAACAGCCTTATTCCTAAATTCACGATTAAACTTAATTGTCCTTTAGCTTTTCTGTTCCTAAGTTTGGATCACTGTCTGTTCAGTGATGGGCGGTTTGAGGAAAGTAGGTAATATTTGGATGGTTTGTGCTTCCTACTGTAGCCTCTATTTATTTTTCTGTGCTTTTTTTAGGGTTCTGTATATTGGTCTGGCCTGCAATACTGCTCGCTATATTTATATTTCCTACCTGGAAAATGCCTGGACTGTGCTCCCCATGGAAGTTCTTCAAGGTGAGTTACAGAGGAATTGGGGTTGTTTCTCTACCTAACCACGCCACATCTATGCAGAAGGCTTCTGCAAAGGAAGGGCGGGCCTCCTGTGACACGACTGTGAAGTGGTTGTCAAGGAAGAGATGACGTCAGGGGCGCTGGTTCCTCAGTTACCCAGGGTGCTGTTCTGTGTTGAGCCGAACAGGCAGGATTTGACCCACACCCTGGTAATCAAACAAAGAGAAAACTCGAGACAAACTCCTGTGTACTTCATAAGCATAGGCATCCACAGGTGGCTTTAAAAAAGGACTTATGTTTCAAAGGTTTAGGCTTTTTTGTTTTTTTTTTTTTTAGGTTAACTACAGTTATTGGAAAAATACTTTTGTAACAATTGTTTTATCTCCAGTTACTTTTACTACAGTTGGTGGCTTATAGCTAGAGCTCTATAGTTATATGACTGTTTTCCATAAATCTTCTAAATCTCAGCTCAGGTATCCTGACTCAAAGTTCTTACTCCCTTTAGTGCACCATTTTCCATCAAAATAGAATTCTGTAAAATTTTCTAGGAGGCTCTTGCTCTGTGGTTTAACCTTTTCCCCTGGGCTTGAACCTCTGGTGGTATAGACATGATGGCCCCATTGGGTGGCTTGTGCCACCATTTGGGGCCATCCCATATCACCCACAGGGACAGTTGTGCCTGTACCACTGGGGGATCAGAGCTGTCCACCAGCGAGGCATACAAATTATAGCCCTGTAGTGAATGTGTTAAAAGCATTGAAAACATGGATTTATGTTCAAAGCTCATTGATATATTGGCTCATACAATCCTGACTAGATCCCAAAACCCCTGTTAGCAGCTTGACTAACCTATCTAGTGTTTGGCATTATGATTAAAATAAAGGCTTAGAAGTCAGGTGTGATGGTGCACACCTGTAATCCCAGGTCAAGGCAGGAGGATCGCAAGTTCAAGGCCTGCTTTGACAACTTAATGAGACCCTGCCTCAGAATTAAAAAAAATAAAAAATAGAAAGGGCTGAGGATATAGCTCAGCACTCCCACAATTCAATCCCCAGTTCCACAAAAGGGGAAAAAATGCTCAGGACAAGGACAAGATCTGAATCTACTGCGACAGGGCATCCTCCTCAGTTGTTAATTATATAGTTGTGATTTTGTATAATTTGTTTAATAAAGATTTCCATTATCATTTTCCCTGACCCTGGTGCAAATGCAGTTCAGCCCTTTCAGTCTTTCCAGATTTTCATTACCATTCGAACAAAATGTACAAAAATTGCACAAGTTCATTCATCAGATTCCATCATGGCAATGAAAAACAGAGCTCCCTAACTTAAAGGAGATATAATTTATAGCTACATTTTAGTTATAAAATTCAACACTATGCACACTTGAAGGGTGGTTTTTCTCTGGACTTCTGTGCAGTGTTGTAACTGGTGAAAGATTTATTTAGAAATATGTAGAAAATGGGGCTGTCATAAGAACTGATTGTAATAATGAGAACTCTGGAGAGGTTTTGAGCTTTAGTTACTTCAGAATCACAAAGCACTGAATGTGAACTACAAAAAATTGTGCAGCTGGGAATTATCTTGGTGGTGCCACACCTGCCTGGCAAGTGCAAGGTCTTGAGTTTGATTCCTGGTATCGGAAAAAAAAAAAAAAAAAAAGAGTTGTACAACAAGGTACACGTAACCAGTTCTTAAGACTTCTCACTTCTAGTTCCTCTTTTCTGTGTCAGGCTTAATTGCTTTATTGGCATATTACCGTGTATAGACTCTATAACAAGATTTGTGTGCCTACTGTAAAGAGTGTATTGACATAATATATACATATACCTTTCCTCCTTTGAATACAAGTTATATAGAAAAGAACATTCTGGGGCTGGGTAGCTCAGTGGTAGAGTGATTACCTAGCATAGATGAGGCCCTGGACACTATCCCCAGCACTAACAAAGTAAAAGGTGAAAAGAAGAAAGAAAAGAAAAGAACAGTGAACAGTTTGCATAAGAGACTCAAGAAAACAGCATTCACAAAATGGTTAAACCAACAACAGAAAAATATTATCAGAGGAAAAATCAAATGCTATTATGAACTTAAAACCTCTTTTCTTGTTAGTTTGTGAAAGATGTATTAAATGGCTACTAAGAGCTAAGCAACATGCTGGTGCCAAAAATATAAAATAATAATAATAATAAAAAAATCAGGTCCAAAGTCTCACCATCTGTCCCGGAAGCCAGATGTGCAAACACATAATTACTATACAGTATGTTAGATGGAATCACAGAAAGATGTGCTAGGTGACAGGCAGCTCAATGCAGAGGATAATTAACTTTGTGAATCAGGGAGTGGAGGATGAAGATTTGACTGGGCAGTTCCCCAAGGAAATCTCACTGAGCTGGAGTAGAAGGGGCCACTAGGAGTCCTCCAGGTGGCCTTCAGGGAGTGGCCTTCCAGCAGAGGGAAGGTGCTTGCCAGGATGTGGAAGTGGGAATCGGAAAAGCTGCGTCAGGGGCATAAGTGGGGTGCTGTAGGTGGGGCTCTGTGGAGTCCTCACCCCAAGCTGCCAACCCAGGACACACGTTTACTGTCTTTGTGTGCACCTTGAGGTCTGTTTGCCCAGGATTTGGGAGCTGGCTGTGTTCTGAATCTAAACAGGATTTATGCTATGGCTTTTACTCCCGTGTGTCATACTCTCCCCTGTGCCAGTAGGAACCTGGTTACTGACATGAAGTAAGTGAAAACAAAGATCTGTAAATACGGATCCAACAGAGGGCTCTGTGAGCAGGTTCCAGAGCTCGCTGTTTCCAAAGCTGAAGGAGATGGTTTCATTCCCTGGCACAAGGGAGTGCTGAGTATTTTGGCTGTAGAACAGAAGCAAAATCCCTTGCCTTTGTTGGATCTGTTCCCATACCACAGAAAGTAGTGGGTCATCCATGTGGAATAAATCCTGTGTCACAGGAATACATTTCTGACTAAAAAGGTTTGTTTGGGCATCCTCGATTCTGCTGATTTTGACAGGGCTTGTCCAAATGACTTCAAAGTCCTCATGCTTACAGGATACTACTGAGGATGCAAAAAGACAGGAAATGATTATAACCAAACACTGAAGGATTTAATTTTAGGATAAGCACACTGCCGTGGTAGATGCCCCTTCATTCACTGACTGGAACTATTGCCCGAGTTTCATCAATGTCTAGGGAAGGGGAGGTTGGGAGTGGACTAGTACTTGTCATCCCTGACAGTTTTGACACTGAACAATCAGCACTTCCATGTCACGTGAGTCTTCCTGAAAGAATATGAGTGAATTCTGTCTCTTCAGCTTTCACCCCTTGGCTCCTCTCCCAAATACCCTACAACGATTACTGCCTAGTGGGCAGCTGAAGGTGGGAACGAGAGTATTGCTGTGGTCCCCATCACCAGCTCCCCAGAATGCCCCCTTTGGGTTGTCTGTAACTAACAGTGGAGAATTCCTTGTTTTGCTTCGGTTCTTGATCACCCTCTCAGCGTTCTGTCTCCTTGCGGCACCTGGAAAGCACTTAGCAGGTGGGTGGGGGGAGAAGAAGAGGACGTCGTTCTCGCCAGGCTCACAGGAAAGGGGCTATGTAGGCATCTCTTTCTCACATTCAGCAGTCCCTGTGCTCTTGTAGTGTGATCCTTTTAGCAGTTCAGCTACCATTTGCAGCAAACATGTTAGTCAAGAAGCCTGAGCCATATCCCTGCCCATGAGGGGCCTACAATGTATTTGTAAAAGAGACAGTGAAGGGCCAGGGATTTAGCTCAGTGGTTCTGTTGCCTGCCTTGCAAGTGCAAGGTCCTGAGTTCGATCCCTGGTACCAAAAAAAAAAAAAGAGAGAGAGAGAGACAGAGGATCTAAGTGCCAACATGCGTTGCTGGATGGTGGTGGTGATGGTGATATGATGTGATAAGTTTATATTTCTTTCTCAAGCTCTCATTTTCAAACCCATACTTTTGTATAAGAAGCACTTCAGCATGCATGGTTGTGATCAAGGATATAAACATTTGATAGGAATCAGGCTTGAATTTGTTTGCTCCTTAACTATGTGGGTATTGCTTGTAGTTAATCCTTGCAAAACTCAGAAATGAATGTGATCAAGATTATTCTTGCTCCTAAGATGTAAAGGCAGCCCAAAGGCTCTTACAACTAAAGAAGTCTTTTTAGGTCACATGAGTGAGTAGCTCCAGCTTGAGGGGTGAAAATGATGGCCGGGTGGGTCCTTCTCTGTGAAATGCACTCCCGTGGGAGCCGGGATGAGATTTTGATGAAAGATGACTTTTTAATGCGACCAGTAGGAGGGCCTGGGCTGACATTTATGAAGCTTTCCTCTGTTTGCCTAATATAGCATGCCTACTCAGCTGACTAAGAACCACATTTCCCTTCCTCTGAGGAAATTATAAGAGGACTACTATGCAGCTCCTGACAATGGACATTCTAAACATGGTTCCAGCTGATTATTATCCATGGTGGAAATTTTCTGTCTGACTTAATCCTTTGAATATGAACAGTTTGTGACATGAATAACTGAGATAGATATGCATTAGAATTTCAACTGGTAAAATGAAATAAAATGTCATTTATGATATCTAGGCATGGTAGCTCACACTACTGTAATCCCAGCACTGGTAGGCTGAGGCAGAAGGATCACCAGAAGTTCAAGGTCAGCCTGGACTACACAGCAAGACCCTGTCTCAAAAAACAATAAAAAAGTCATTTGTATTATTGGTAAAATTAATTTCAAATCAGAAGTCTTTTAAATTGTAATATAATAATTGTATTCTTTGTCACCCCATGTTTTACAGTACTAAGAATTCCTGTAGGGCCAGGGATTTAGCTCAGTGGTTCTGCTGCCTGCCTCACAAGTGTGAGGTCTTAAGTTTGATCCCTGGTACAAAAAAAAAAAAAAAAAAAAAAAAAAAAAAAACAACATAAGACAGTTTATATGTAAAGTCAATAACATGAGGTTCCTCAAAAAACCAAAAGACAACAAACTT